GGGTCACGCACCCCTTGAAGCCCTCTTCCCGAAGCAGGGCTGCAGGCGGCAAAGGGACGAGGAGGAGGAGGAGGGGGACGGCTGCGGTGAAGCTCTTCACACCCAGCCCAAGACCCACCCTGCGTATCTTCTCCCACCCCAAACGAGCAGACCCGATCTGGCCGCTCAGCAACTCGAGCTGAGCAGACACTGTTTGATTTGCCATCCTCTGCAGGGAAGGACACTTGTCCCCAGCATACAAACCCAGGCGCACGCAGAGGACACCCGCCACAGGACGTTTCGACATGAGTCCGGATTTGTGCTTCAGCCATCTGTGACCGGTGTGCTGGGCGCTCCGACGTGCCAAGCTGCGTGGCGTCCAGTTCACGGGGGTGGGCTGTAGCCCATGGGGGACTTCAAACCCAGCAACCGCAAGAGCAGCCCGATCCAAACACCAGCCAAGCACATTTACAGAGCAGACCAATACAGAGGTTACGGATTGATCCTGCTAAACTTCCTCCACAGCATTCAAGCTCAACATTTCAGCATCCGGGGAAACAACTACTGACACCTCCAACAGAGCACACTGTAAAGCCCAAACCAGCAACCACTACTGAGCCGAAAGCCAGGACAAGAGAGGTGTACGAAGAAAAAAAGCTGAGCTGGAAGGACAAAGAGAGAGGTTTTTTCCTGACAGGGTTTGATACACACAAGTAATTCCCTGCTCCTCCCCCAATCCGCACAATCTCCAACAGGAAAAACAACAAAATAGCTGCAAACTTTGATCCAGTTTACCAATTTGGAAATAGAGAAAAGGGAGAGAATCCACCTTTCTGTTCTGCAGGCAAGAGCAAAGCCGCAGCAAGGAGAAAGCAGCAAAGCGGCCCAACCTCCAAGGCAGCTGCTTTTCATTTTTTCATCAAGAGATGTCACTTGCAAGAGTTGAAAGATACAGATTTTCAACAGCAAACAAAATTTAACAACAGATGTAATGGACAGAGATTTCTACCCCCACCACCTAAAAAACAAGGGCCAAAAATCCTACACAGGGTGGTAGAATCACTGCACACTATTTGGTATAAACAACACCCTGAAAACGATCACAGGGTAGAGCTCTGCCTACCTCTTTCCAACGCAGGATTATCTCTTAAAGTACACGCTGGAGAGTCAAAGCTGGATATTTTCCTATTGCTACCAAAGCTACTGTTTTCTCTCTTGATCCTTCCGATCACTGCAAGCAATTTTAATTTACTTGAACTTCACTGCTGCCCAGGAACCGAAGCACTACTCGCTATGAATTTTCATATTCAAGAAGTATTCCGGTGACACCCACAAGACAACTTCCAAAAAATTACAGTTATTACTTCCCTCTGCCCGTAGCTCGGGTAAAAGCCTGTGCGCTCAATCCCACAGGAATTTCAGATGACTGAAGCATTGTATTTCTCCCCTGTGTAATAACCACGGCTCTTTAGATGTCAGCTGGATGCTGACTAAGGTGAAGTCTGCTTCCCCTCCCTCTCCACAAGCATTTGGCCCCTATTTAACATTGAAGTTCTTGGCATACTCTTCACTGGGCAGTCTTTAGCATCAACATAACATGAATAATACCAAATACTTCATCAAAGCCGACATATGAATTTTAATCTAGACTAGCTCTTACTGACACGACTTATTACAAAAGAGAGAGAACAGGCATCCAAAAAAATCACAGACAATAGAGAAGCAGAGGCTCTCCTCTCCACATCTGAGTGTCTTTTACAAAGGACAAAGCTCACTGGACCGAAGCTGTTAGGACTGCCCTTCACAAACACCAGCACCACACTCACCCTCCTCGCTTTCCGAGCAGCCCTGTAACAGCAGCATGCCTCTTCAACTCCTTACTGCTTTGAGAAAACTGCTTGATAAGTATGTCAAGTAATGCACAACCTTTCCAACGCGTACAGTTCACCCTGCAGCGTTCCTCTTCCTCCTTTCCAGCCACGTATGGCAAGCTACTCAGCATTTCCCAGTCAGCTACCCAGTATTTCTTCATCAAGTCTTGAAAAGCAGAGGTAATGAGAAGTACCGTGGAAGGAGAGCGAAGCTTTGTGACCATTTCCCTGGACATCACCAAGGGAAGCACCGCAGCAGGCAAAACTTCTGCGAAGCAGCAATGGGCTAGACATCTCGGTAGCAGGGAGACACTGGCTCTTGCAGTAGCAGTTACTACCCCAGGTATCTCTACGGGCTCAAATTCTGCTCGGGAAAGCACAAAATGTTAGATGTAGCTATGGTTAAGTCAGAGAGGGCCAGGGCGTCCCTGCATGAGGGGGTATTCTGGTGCTGTGACCAAGCCGACGAGGCTGGGAGGCAGAAAGAACGCCAGCAAGGCGGGAGGCAGGTCAGGAGGGTGGGTGACCCTGCAAGGGGGATGCACGCAGCCGGGTGTGCGGGAGAGCCCCACGCGTGTGTATCGCCGGGCACAGGCACAGCCTCCCCGGGGAGCAGTGCCAGCTCGGGGAAAGCAAGCTGCAGGCAGTGTATAGCCAGGATACTGCAGAATTAATGCCGTAATTCTCCTCCTGTGGGAGACAGCTTTCTAAAATGCCTTTCCCCGAGACTTTCATTTTCAGGTTGCTGAATTGAATCTCGCTAATCACTGATTTACAGCTGCTACGTCTAAATAGCATGCATTTTTCCTTCAGTGCTTTACAGATCTATTCCAAGGTGAATTCACCAAGTTCCTATGAAAATATTCGGTCCCTTTTTGTACTAACCACTTGAGCGATCAGCAGAGACAGCTGGAATAACCGAGGAACCTATCTACCCAGCTGAAGTCAACCTCCGCTTTACCGTAAATGCAGATTCTTTAGCCCTCAGGTAAGACTTCAAGGAAACCTGGTCAGTCCCTGGTTCCTGATACTCTTCTGTAGTAGCAGAAACATCCCTTTCCTTTCTTGGCTCTCCCCATACCCACCCTCTACCTAACCAACACCTGTGTAAGTAAATCATCACCAGCTGCCTCGAGTGAGGTAGCCAAGGACCAGGCTAGTATCCGCAATCTATTTTCTTTATGGGAAGGTATGAAATCTAGAAAGTAAGTATTAGATCAAAACACAGCCTGTATTCGCCCATACTTACTTTTCCTACTTGCTCGGTCATAACTGTCATCACCTTAATATTTACAATCTGTATGTTGCTCCCTCTGTAACTCATTAGGTGCCCAAACACTTACAAGCTGACTCAATCAGTTCTTCTGCTACTTTTGGACTTCTGCTAACATGTTTCTGAATTTTCTTTCAACTCTGTCCATCCTGCAGCCTTCCCCATTTTTCTTCTCTCCAGAGTTCACTTCAGTACCACCTCCTTTGTAAGAAAATGGTTTCTCATCTGCGATCAGTTTATCAAGCCACCCTCTCCCTTCTCTAAGCAGGCTTGTGTCCACTAGCATCCGAGAAGATGGCTCTCCCAAGCTTTAATCCTCGCTACAGAGGATGGACGGGGAACTCTGCGAATGCGGCATTAATGGCCGTCAGCAAAGTCACCCTTCAAAACTCTCCCATCTTAAGCTGAACCGAGTTTGAACTCGCAGGACTGGATATCCCACCTACATCAGCGGGCGCTGTCACCTGCTCCTGGAGGGGACACCAGTTCTCACAGGGGCTGCAGCCACCTCCTACACAAGCCAGGGCTCCATGGGTCAGTCCCCAGCACGACCTCACTCAGGCTAGACACCAAAACGACGCACTGTCACATAGGCTTACTTCCACAAGTCTGGGCAGGGGGGTGGGGGAAGAAGAAGGGGGGAAAAAAAAAAAAAATGGGAAAAAAAAAATCAACCTTCACGGCACAGCACTATTTCTGACTCTACTTCTCTATGCAAACTACAGCAAAAATATTTTTCACCATTCTTCAAGCCGCCTTCTGCTCTTATTATCGCATTTTGTATTCCAGCAAAAAGGAGAATACATACTCTATTTGTCTCTTTTATAGGGATTAGGCAAAACATTCTTCACATCTAAATTATTTCTCAAGATCATTTGCCATCTCCTCCTACTTTTTTCTCATTTCTCAGTCGACCCCCCCCCACTAAGCCATCTATTCAACTAGCAAGACAGCAGTCAAGGGCCTAATACATTAATTTTGTCAAATCTGAAACACCTCTAAGGACTTGGATCTTGCTTTGTTCACCTCTTTGGAAACAGTCGTCTCTGGCAACCCAACTTGTTGCACTCCCTGCTTTCAGTATCTTTGACTGCTCATCCACCCCACCTGTGAAGCAACTCTAACCCCTGCAAGGGATCCCCTGGGCGCTGGAAGGTGCCCCTTCCCCACACGCTGCAAGGCAGACTACCCTTTGGGCATGCGTATACCCCTGCAAAACAGAAGGCAGACAGCTTGGGAAGAGAGTTCAGATTTTTCTCCTCTTTTCATAAGACTACAGTCTGGTTTCAGGTTTTGGAAGTCTCCAGGACTAATGAAAGCAAGAAATATTTATTCTGACTTGTCAAAGAGTCAAATTCGCAAGATTTCTCCATCCAGCCTACCTCCGCCTTCGAAGGCAAGCTCATTAGTTTCTGAACACACCACATTTCACTACCGCATGCACTGAGTGAGGCCTACAGCATCTAGCCTTCCAAAACATCATCACATCTGTTCTGGTAAGACAGATCTCCTAGGCAGAAAAGACATTGAACAAACTCAGTCTGCACCGCTCCTCTCTTCACTCTGAGCGATCGGTAAGCACACACACAGATAAATCTTCTGCAAGCATACCTCTAGCTCAGCTCGCAGAAGAAAGATCTCAAACAGAAAAAAGACACCACCGCTTCACAGAGTATCCATTTCCAGAGACAGGAATTTTTCTATCATCCTACGCTACCTCCTTTCAATCTCCTCTCTGCCACACAACTCAATTATTTTGTAACGCTGAAATAACGACCGAGACAAGCAACCTCAGACCCCTTAAACTTCTTACAGCTTCAACTCCAGGGAAGCATTTTCTGTTAATAAAAGGAAGAAGGGCAGATCAAGACACTGACCTCTGGCTGACAGTTTTTTGGTGTTGATGATTTTTGCAGCATATTCCTGCGATGAACTTTTCTTTACACATCTGCGGACCACAGAGAAGGCTCCCCTAGAAGAAAAACAAAGAGGACAGGAGCTATGAAACTGAAAATGAGAACAGAATAGCAGCAATTTCTGTCCCCAGAGTGGACCCGATTAAGGACTGCGCGGAAGACATACAGAGAAGGGAAACAACCACCTGACAAACACCGCATGCTGTCTGACCAGCAAATAAATCCCAGCCTCTTGGGTACTCGAGCCTCCTGAAGACCCCTCAAGCCCCCTCCAGCAGCACAGTAAGAACCGCACGCTGCGCAGGGAAAGACACCACCCGGGCACAGAAGCAGGACATGAAGGGACTGCTGAGCGGGAGGCGAGCGGCCCAGAGCGACGCTGTGAACGCCAGCCGGTATGGCCGTCTCCCGAAGGCAGTACCCCCAGCAGTTACATCAGACAAGCAGGACTCATTTCTCCCACGTTCAAGTGCCAGCTCGGTGACAAAACTGCTGCAACACTTTGCCGAAGTTACCAGCTCTCTTACATCTGTCTGCCCTCCTGCAAAATGGGGATAAGCATGTACCTACTAAGGAAGTGAGCAGCAAGCTACGAGGCTTTGTGTGTTTTCTCAAGCTGCACCTATCAATATTATTACAACTATTCCAAAGAGCCACTCGGAGAAGAGGTCTGAGAGAGAGGGAAGGATTTCTGTGAGGAAAAAAGAGATAATAGAAGAGAGACCAAGGTGAAATGATAGGGATGCAAAGTCTACAGAACTGCACAGGTGAGCGCTGGAAAGCAGTCCCTTCTTTTTTTTGTTTAAAAAAAAAAAAACAAACCAAGAAAACAACAAAACAGGGTGGAAAGAGTAACAACTGGCATTACGGGAGAGATCTGAAAAGGGGAGAAGGATAAGTTAAGAGAAAACTGGCAGAAAATCCCAAGTCCTTCAGAGCAGGAACGCGAAC